ATAAAATAAAATAAAATAAAATAAAATTAAATTAAATTAAATTAAATTAAATTAAATTAAATTAAATTAAATTAAATTAAATTAACTGGACAGTAACACTACAGAAAGATTTTTGTTTAGGCTTCTTTGCTATTTATAACTAATAGCACAAACAGAATCAGTTTGTTTTATACTTATATTTTTCATTCCTGTTCTGTTTGGAATACCATTTATTATTAAATTATTATTTGTGGAATGAGGGGAACTAAAATACATATTTTATTATGTTTATAATGTTTTGTTTACCAATATTTTACATAATTTCTGAACATTATAGTAAAAGGTGATTCATACGTTTTTTTCTCAACAATGCAGTATTGACCCAGTGCACATTATAGTAAGATGCAACTTATTAAAAAACAGTACGTACTATTTATCTAATATGTACTTTGTTTTGTTTCGTACTGTGGATTGTGCGATAGACACTCCCTCCGTTTCCTCGGAGAAAACGCCCCCTGACCGAACACCACGAACAAGATGCCTGACAGAAACAAATGCTGCAGCTGAAGAACTTCACAGTTGTGGAGCCACACAACCAGGAAGACATCTGACAATCAGGAAGAAACACACACACACACACACACACACACACACACACAGAGGAAAACACGTGTATGCAAACATAAATCATCCACATGTGGGTTATCTCACCCTGACCTTCATATGCAGAAAACCAGTTGCTTGCACAGCTGGTGAGGCCAGTGACTCACTGCAGCCCGACAGATGCAAACGTTACCCATAATCCCCTATCATCAGAGCAAACGCTCTTTGTAGTCTTTGTAGTTAAACGCACACACAGAAGTTAGAAGTCAAAATAAGATGGGGATTTTTCTCATATTGTGATTCAGATGACAGACAGAGACATACGGACATAGACTTATTGGAAGTGTGACCTACTTAGTGCATAAAACATGTGTGAATGCACAAACACACACTCACATAACCCCACAAGTTGCACGGCTTTATGTCTTGACGGTGCATATATCACTAGAGATTAGCAGAGGCATGCACTCCACAGCCAACAGATGCAGCAATTCGTCACTTTTTATCTCTTCCTATCTCTCTCACACACACTTTTCCAAACACTTTCACCACCTGACGCACTGCGTGAACTTTATGTGCTTGAGGAAGCCTGTGCGTGTGTGTTTGTGCATGTTTGTCTGTATATGTGGAAAGGGGTGGAGCAATTAAAACTCTTTATGATTTGATAAACCACGACTCGGTAGCCTCAGAGATCAAAGACCACCAAGAGTCAGACCAGACACATTGTTGGCCTCCCTGGAAGATGAGCTGACACTGATTACAGCCTCGAGCATCTCAGTGACTATAGCAGACGAGTAGATTTCCCACGCATGCACTTATCACCTGAGGATATTAAAGGATAGTTCACCCAAAAATGTATATTTGCTAAAAAATACTCAGGCCATCTGAAATGTAGATGAGTTTGTTTCTTCATCAGGTTTGTAGAAATGTAGCACTGCATCAGTGTCTCAGCAATGGATGCTCTGCAGTGAATGGCTTTTGTCTTCTCCAGATGTTAACTGATGGACTGGAGTGCTGTGGAATATTGTGATGTTTTTATCAGCTGTTTGGACTCTCATTCTGACGGCACCCATTCACTGCAGAGCATTCATTGCTGAGACACTGATGCAATGCTACATTTCTCCAAATCTGATGAAGAAACAAACTAATCTACATCTTGGATGGCGTAAGAGTGAGGACATGTTCAGCTTTTTGGGTGAACTGTTCCTTTAAATAAAAACATGGAGGATAGCAAATACTTGCTGCATTCATTTCTGGAAAATTCGTTTGTAGAGGAAGGTCTTTCTTTAAACGTCTAAAAACATGGGCTTAAAATATCAGTGCAGACACAACAGCTGAACAAAGAAAGACAAGACGCCAGGTGAGCTATAGCTGGGCCAGGCAAGCTCAACCATCCAGGCCTGTTTTTGACATTTAGCACTGAGTTTCTGTATCCCACTGAAAACCAGAAAGACAGCAGGAGAGAAAAAAGCGATTGAGAAGTCAGGGGGTTTATCTTCACACACATCTTGACGACTAAAGCTAGCAGCCCACTGACTTTTTTTTTTAATCTATTTTTCGTTGTTATCCTCATTTATTTTAAAATCATTCAAAAGATTAAGCAAGCAACTCTGACTGAGAACCCCAAAAAACTCATCTGTCTTTCTGTGCACAGAGAACAGTTGGGAACTGCATGGTGGCAAATATGGGTTTGCTCTCGCACCCTTGACAATTGAGCTAGCTGGTATGAGCATGTATTGCTCATCTCAAATTCATCCTGATGAAATCTGATTGTGTGCGAAGCAACAAATGTGATCTAGGCTGAAGTTTTACTGTGCCTAATCTTCTTTCAGAGGCACAGAGGGTCTTGAGTCCCTGCCCCTTTCATTTCAGATCGAAAATAAAAGCTTTAGCCTATATATAAAATCCTAACATATTTTCACACAGAAAACTGATTATTTCACAATATTACTGTTTTTACTGTATTGTTTATTATAGAAATGTAGCCTTGGCGAGTAAAAGAGTCTTCTTTCAAATATCCAAAAACCACTAGAACAGTGTTATATATTTTGCTGACTTTTGTACTTACAGTATCCCAAATGTTTCGAAGAATGTTTAAATCCAGAGAAATAAGCAATTTTAACTAGTGTCTATAGTGTCATCGTGTCGCCTGCCAATGACGTCATAACCCCTCGATTTCCAGTTTTGTTTTGTAGAAACCAAAGACGCTTTAATATGTTGTGTGTTTTAATAGACCGGTGACGACCGCACAGAGTAGCATTATAACAGAACTAAATGTATCTAGTATGATAAAACAGCGCTGCTTTACCCCACATACGCACGACCGGAAGCAGCAGAAGCGCTTGACTGTGGCATAATAAAAGCCCCGCTGCTTTACCCCACATACGCACGACCGTGTGTCACGCTCGTTCAGCGCCTCGTTTCACTTCGACAGCTTTCAGTCTCACCCTGCTTCATACTACTACGTTAATAAATCATTAGCTCATCTGTGAACATGATTTCTGCCCGAGTCCCGTCGGCTGTGCGGATGAAGACCACAACTCCCATGATTCCACACTCAGTCACGCCGTCATCTACCTACGCCTTTGCCTCTTTGTTTATTTTGAATACCCTCCCTCCAGCGGCGAAAATTACATATTGTGCCTTTAAGTTCACTGAACTTAATTTATTTGTGTTCAATGAAATAGTTGAAAATGTGGCTCCTTTGCGCATGCGCTGTAGAGGACAGCAGGCAGGCGCGGGCATGGCGCAAACAACCACGAAGACGGAAGATATTAATTCTGTATATTACCAAAGACTGAAGTTAATACCATAGCGATAGACCCTTTGTGTAATTTATTTACTTCTACGTTGAGGAAACTTGATAAAACCTACAGAGGATGGGACTCAACAAAGTGATGCATTCAAACGAAGCTCTCCAACCGTCATCTGACAGACGGACTGGTGCTAAGCCACCTGCAAAGACCTCGTCAACTAGACGGCCATCAGCAAAGACCACTAAAAACCACATCATGCTGGTTTGTCTGGCCAGAGGAGAACTGGCCTTTTGACTGAGCTTGGTTTCTCCCAATGTTTTTTTTCTCCATTCTTTTCATAGGAGTTTTGGTTCCTTGCCACTGTCACCTTTGACTTTCTTAGTTGGGGACACTTATTTTTTGGGAGTATTATCGACTCGATTGCACAAACTGAGATGGCATCACTGAATCAACAATGAACTGACTTTAATTAAAAAATTGACTGTTTATTACCATCCATTTTGTATTTAATCTGTATCTATCTGTATTTATGTTATCTGTATGCACCAAGGGTCTGAGAGTAACGCAATTTCAATTCTCTGTGTGTATGTGCTGTACATGTGGAAGAATTGACAATAAAGCAGACTTGACTTGACTTGACTTTTCGCTCTCGTTCACGCTCAGACCAACGAACTCCCATTTCTGACCTCAATCTTGCTTTCTTATGTTTGTAATTTCAGCTCTTTACAAGCACAACAAGACCAAAACAACATTTGGTCTCCAGATTTACCTCCCTTACGATTTTCTCATCCACAACCTCTCCAACCCGTGGCTAGCCAACGTCAGAGCGCCTCCTTGATTATCTCGTCCATGCTTGAACACCACTGGAAAAAGAGCAACCAAAGAAGAGGTTGAGAAATTGGAGAGAAGACGATTACTCAAACGACAAGTAGTTGCGCATGGAAAGGGATATGCTTTCACAGGTCAGTGCTTTAAAGCTGGCAAAATCTGCTATGTTATTAAATCTCATTTAAGAACAGACACCACAATCAGAAAGCATCTGATAGTAATAAAGGAGCAGTGGAAAAAAGCTGAAAGTGTTGGAGACTGAGATAATAAGAACATCTCGTGCTTCACGAACAGAAAATTGACCCACTCTGTGTAGAAAAATATTCTAATCAACGACCGTAACTTGATCATTTTGATTGCTCCAGTAATGACAAGCATGACAGGATAATATTTAAGAACTCATTCTCTGATTGATTCAACAGAGTCGTTAATTCTGAAGACAGCAGAGGTCATTAGCTTTGTCATATTTTGCTCCTGTGTGAAATGTGCTGGAGTTGGATTTACTTTGGAATAATTCATACTCTCATTACACAATTCTGTTTTTATTTCAATTGTCAAAATACACTATCACATTCAATATAGATTCATTTTTGAATGCTGAATGGAAAGTGTTTCAAGGACATCCAGAATGGTTGCAAATTGCACATCAAACTCTAGATGTCAAATACTTGCAATTAGAGTGCAGAAGTGTTAATAAAGTTATCAATGAAATTACTGCCATTTTTTGGCAATGCTAACAAAGACTAGATGAAAAACATTCATTGTCAAACAAAATTTAATTTCAACAAAGTTAATATTACAATGTGCATCTGCACATAATGATGTCCAATGGCTTAATTTAGATGCCATTTTTGTCAATTTGTAAAACTGACTAAAATCAATTGATATCACAGTACTGAGTCAGCTTATTAAAAGTTTTTTTAATGATATTTTGTTGTCTGTTGACTCAGGGGATTCTGTGCCTTGTGCCTTTGATGCTGTGAACCAATGAATTATTATCTCACAATTTGAACAATATGTGGGTATTGAAGGTTGTGCTCTTAATTGGTTTATGTCCTATTTGAATGATAGAACTCTTTCCTGTTTGTCTTGATGGGTTTTTCTTCTTCTGTTTCTGTTTTGGATTATGGAGTGCCTCAGGGCTTTATTCTGGCCCCTGTTTTGTTCACGTTTTATATGCTTCCTTTGGGTACTGTTCTTTCTAAACATGGGGTGTCAATTTTACTTTTACACTGATGACACACAAATTTATTTGCCCTTAAAAAGGCTTAAGCTCAATATCAGCATGCTTAACGAGAGCAAGTTTTTCCTTAGCATTCCCATTTACCTCAATGGCAGTTGCTTGGCTGGTGCATAATCCCCATATGAGATACGAAATCTTCCATCTTCGCTCATCACGTGACCAATCACTATGGAGCTGCAGGGGGAAAAATGCGATATTGATTAGCTGATGACATCACAAAAATTTGCAAATTCCAAACCATTCACTATAGCACCTATGCTGAGCTGTGACGTCAAAGCAAGCAGTCAGGGAGAAATATAAAGTAAATACATTTCAGACTTCCAAAAAGATTAGGAAAACTACTACAGTATAATATTAGCAATATATGCTGTATACTGTGTGAAAGAAACTTCTTAATAGCATCAAAGAGGAAAGCTTTTTGAGTAAGACACGGAGTAGTTACGACATTAACCACTAGGTTAGATGCCTAAAGTACACAAACAGCATACACCCAAACACATGCATAGGCATGTGAATTCGTGACACCCCCAAGGATTCCCTCCCGCAAGATGCCTGATGATGTAATTCTCATTTGTCAAAATGATTGACAGGTAAGAGGGAGTTCGGGATGAGTGACAATCTCTCATTTAGCCCGCTTGAGTTTCGCCCAACGTGTACAACCCCCTCCCAACCATTCTAACAGGACATCGCCCATCTGGGTGTGGGGGGGATACCAGTCCCAATTCATCCATCAGTCAGTGAAAGGGGTGTCTGATGGAGAGTTAGGGGGTCCTTTCAGTCCAGTGAGAGAGGGTGAGAAAAAGGTCATCTGCTTCTGACTTACAAAATGAGACATGACCCAAAAGCCTGACATGTGGCTGACAGAAGACCGGGGAAGGATGAATACAACACGGAGCATGAAATATCTTCCTAAATATTTTGAAACTAATGTAAAGGGATATTCTCTTGCATCTGGTTGACCGATAAACTGTTACTTTGAGGAAAGTGCTTCTGATATCTGAAGAAATAATGCAATCCAGACGTTTTTATGGCCCCACGTCCTCGGCTCAGAATTGTCATGCATACAATTTCCATTGTGCCAAAGATGAAGCATGTTCCCAAATTGGCTTTTACAGAGCCAGAGTGTGTGTATGCAAGCATGAACTAGTTATCCATTTAGATTACAGATGGACTAACTGGTAGGGAGATGATGGACATAGTGAGGACCTGGCAAACAGACTGCTGTGAGACCCAGCAAGACTCTTTCTCTCACTCATGCACATATGCACATACATCTGTTCCACATTAACACATTAAATGCCTCAAAGGTGTTTGAAAACACTGTGGTGATCAATTTCATCTTGAAATAATCTGTGGTTTTGATTGTGCCAAATTCAAATTTATAGCGCGTACGCAACACAGCGATTTAATTCAGGAAAGATACCACGATGAGATGATAGAAAGTATCTACAGGTTGGAAAGTCTCAAGAATCAGATGCATCTCGAATGTAAACTCATACAGTGTGTGAATGTCCCTACAGATTGTTTCACACATCACAGTTTGACAGGTAGTGTTCTCCGAAGAGTCTGTGACACCATTTGTCAAACGTCAGATTCTAGCGTGAGTTATGGAGGCCACCTAAAGCTGTGTGACATGCAGTGCTTGTGGCCCTTTATGGTTGCTATTGTGAGCGTTAAGAACAATGCAACTGGACGACAGCGATCTGTCATGGGGTTAATGTAAAGGACCAGAAAGAGGACCTGAAGATTTCACACCCATCATCAGTAATAAGAAAGATGAGTGGTCATTAATCAAAACCACATCTCCGTCAATCCATCAGTCCGTCCGTTCTGCCTCCAAAACTTCTCCTCCCTTATGTGTTGCTCCGTCCACAAATAGTTATTGAATTTGACAGAATATTAGGCACAATGCTGTATCACCTCCCACTGTTCTCACATTCATCATGGTCAGCTTTGCTAAATGCACGCGCTTGTCAATGATGTGATAGTGGAAGTCCTACACGCTAAGAAGGAAAAAAAACACTTGGATGAAATGAGTGACAATTTCACATGTCAAAAGAAATTACAAGACAGACCTCTAAGCACCAACAGAGAATTTTCCTGTGTGTGTTTGTGAAACGCTGTTTGGCACGATGAATGAGGAGCTGCCTTGGGAGTTGATCCATCAGGGCCCCAGACAGTCCCGACAGGCTCACATGCTGAGGCCCACATTCTCACTGACCACCCTCAGAGAGGTGGGCCACAGTATTGACAGGAAATTACCTCAGCAGCAACCCTCTCAATTATGGTCATATTCATAATATTTGGCTTTTATAGCATGGCATCATCACTCCAGACATAACAACAGATGCACTTTTGCCAGATTAGCTACTGTCGTTGAAACAGATGGTGTAAGATGTGTGTAGCATACAGTGTTGGGCAGTAACGCATTACTTAGTAACGTGTTAATGTAATTTGATAACTTTTTTAGTAACGGAGTAATTTAACGAGTTATAATTTTCAAAATAGTAATTAGAGTATAGTTACAAGACGAGGTCTCTATACGTTACTGCCACATTACATTGCTGACAGAATGCAATGTTTTATAATCTGGAGATTGTAAAAAGGATGTAGCACACGCACCGTCGAGTCAAGTGCCTGTGGATTAGAGACCTGCTCCCGCGAGACCCGACGCAACAGAGTGCGGCACGGGACAAGATGGGCGAGTGCTGCTGCGGGCGGGTAGATGCTCGTGTGTGTGCGGGATGCGGGACTCCCGCAAAATAGAAATATCTAAACATAAAATATCTAAAACAAATAAATTGTTATTCATCTATTGCACAAAAGCAACATGAACTAATATAAAATAAAAATGATTAACAGGTGCAAGCGTATGCAGAGTTTCTATTTAGGCTATAACAAGTGTTTGCAGTGTATTTGCATGCTCACGAATCCTCTCATTATAACACACGAATTGTAGACATTATGAAATATTCATTATGCATACATTTATTGTGTTATAACAGAGATTTGTGAGATTGCGATGAACTGGGATGTCTTTTAGAGATTATAAATGCAGCGCTCTTTGCTGGCATTCTGCCATGCCAAACCATGCACACAGCAGCCGCTGCTTTAGTTAAAAATAAAAGTGTTATGTGAATGTTGATGCTTTAATAACAAATATTTATCGGGAGCGTGTATGCTGGGATTTCATAAATTTCATGGAGAAAAAAGTAACGTAACTAGTAATGTAACTAATTACTAATTACTTTTGAAATAAAGTAATCAGAACAGTAACGCGATTACTTTTAAAAGGAGTAATCAGTAATCAGTAATTTGATTACATTTTCAGAGTAACTTGACCAACACTGGTAGAATATATCATTTTTATGCTTCCTGTACATAAACCTAAAATATTAAAACCATTCTTAAGAGCATGCATGCTTTCAGAATGCATTTTCAGAATGCATTTTCTGAAATCGTACCTCTCGGTTAAGCACTTGATGCTCCAATGGCCTTTTCTTCTCTCTGAGCCTAAAACACACTGATAATCTATTCAAACAATCAGTGAGATGGTCAGAAAACAATTGGAAAACCATTAGAGAGGAAATGAGGTCAATGCCCAACTGTTTTTAATGATGATGGCAATATGATTATGGTATGTGGGTTTTTGTAGCTTAATAGTGAGGCCGGATGACAGTATACGCTGTTCAGTCAAGCATGAGCACTCCCATCTGCTAGTATGTGATTACTGCTGCTGTTGCCCTGACACTTCCACATTATCTCATTTTCAAAACAGCCCCCCGAGTCTCTCACACACCTGTGACTGTTGCAGATTACGTGTCTTGTTTGAATACTGTACTGTAACCGAATGATAGGAAATCTGGCATCAACAATCAACTCTGGCAAACCCCGTTGTCTCTTCATATTGCTGTTCTCCTGTGACTTTCTTCACAACTTCTTGAGCAGTGTCCTTGTTCATAAGTGGGCCTCCTTCAGCACTCCTGCAGGGATCTACCGCGAGCGAACGCGGATCGCTTCCTCCACTCTCCCAGAATTCCATTCCCATCTAATTGAGTTCAGAAACCATCACAGGCCATGCAGGATATGTGTACCTCCAACTCCATCACTTCTTCAAAAATGCCCCTGTGCGGGAGACGTCATGCCAGTCAACAGCCAGTTGATCACTTCCATATGCTCTCGTTTGTCAGGTTGGACCCAGACGTGCCCCTTTCCTTCGGATTTATGCAAATGGATATTTCCACACGCACCCCTTATCCCCCTTTCACCACACGCCAGTGGAAATAAGAGGGAAACTCTGGGAGCTCCCTTTGCACTTTGTATTCTCTGACTGCAGATGAAGGCTGTTTAAGAGAGCCTCAACAGATTAAGGGCTGCCTTGTGGCTGAGGTCATTATGGTGGATGTTTTGTTTCCATTATTGAGATTATCAGGTATGTACAGTGGATATTAACCAAAATAAACTTTATCTGCCACCTCAGCCCCAAGTCTTAATCCAGGACGGTCTTCTAGGCTGTGCTTTCCCACGACAAAACACCAATATTCCCTGTGCAAACAAACGGAGAGGCCTTGGCCTGCTTCTGCTCAAGCTCCCCTTGACGGCGAATAATCACCACCATTCACCTCACCCTTAATCAAAACACCCCTACAGACTGACAATGGTAGATCCCTGCTTGCTTTGAGGACACCCCTCTACTCTGCAGGCTTTGAGAAAAAGGTTAACGGTGGGGGGAGCAAGACTGAGGATTATCAAAGAAGACTGAGAGAATTCCATGTGTTGGTTTTAGAGAGAGACTGGCGACTCGTCTGTATTAAGAATCCGGGCAGCACCCTCTCTATGTTTCTAGCATTTTCTGTATTGAGAGATGGAGGACATGGAAACAAAGACGCATATCCCCCAAATCCTGGCCACCAAATACACCTGTAATTATGAAGATTTGCAGAAGAGAAACCTCCACCCAACAGTTCATTCTTTTCTCAAGAATATCTGCACAGCAGCACCTATTTTGGCCTCTTGATTTTGCTCTTACGCAGCAGACATAAATTTCAGATTATGATTATGAGGAAATCTTGGGAAGCAGCCACCACCTCAGTCTTTCATCTAACCATCTGACCATGTCATGCTCGAGTCACTTCAATGGTTAAGTCACATTCTGATCGAGTGAAGCAG